AGAGCAGGATCAAATTAGGAGGTCCGTCACTTCGGCATCTCAGCCTCCGCTGGGCTGGGGTCAAATGGGAGCTAGTCAAGGCAAAGCTCCACTCAGCAGCAGCCACTGCAAAAAAAGCAGCGTCCACGTCTGCACATTCAGCCACGTTGTTAGTGCTGGATCAGGTCTCCTTTTTTTCAGACACACTTGGTAGAGTGGGCATCAGGCAACTGCCCAAAAAGAGGCATTGCATCACTGAAATAAGTGGGGGGGGGGAGCAGCAATTTGTAAAAGCTTGTATCAGCACAAAATCAGGAATAAAGAATTTACTCCCATCATCCAGTACAGAATAATGGAAATCCAATACTTCCCCGCCTAATGAGCGCCAGTGCGCTGGCGATTATGTTGGACGGGGGAATCGGGGGAACAGGGAGGTCTTGGTTCCCACTTGGCTATGAAGCTCACCCGGTGAATTTAGGCCAGCCGCTCCCGCTCAGCCCAGCCTACCTCACAGGGTTGTTGTGTGAGGATAAAACGGGGTGCGTGAGCCTCTTTGGGCTCATCACCTGGGGGGAAAAGTAACAACGAGGAGCACGTGGAAGGCTTGTGGCCTGGGGCCCATGTGTTCTCCTCAGTCTCCCGTTCTCTTTATGCTGGGCCCCTTCAAGGTGGAACACAGTCCCTGCAGCCCTTCAAAGAGGACTGTCTTTGCTAAAGGAGGACACCCGGACACTCCACCTTTAACAGCTCCATGGGAGGCACCCTGACTTTGGCCAGTGCAGAGGGGAAGGATTGTATAGCGTTTGTTGTTGTTTTGTTTTTTTGAGAACTGCTGACAAACATTCGCACCGTAAGAATAACAGGAGATTTTAAAAAACTGAAAGTAGGAAAAAGCAAACCTGACCTTTTCAAATAAAGGGCAGCTGGAGGTATGAACTTGTTTTGAACCGCTTTACATGGCCAGCTTTTCTGGAATCCACTCCATAAAAGCTTTCTCAGACCAGGTATTGTGCAGGTATTTGAAGTAATGCTGTTGACTCTTCATATAAGTGCTTCTTGGTTTCATATTTTAAGAGCAGTATCTGGTGTGTGTTTCCACAGAAAAAAGGTCTACATCTCCCAGCATGCATGTTGTGTTGAAAACAGTGGTGTTGAGCTACAAAGCCTAGCATCCCCAGCCATTGTGGCTATGTTGGCTGTGAACCATGGGAGTGGTAACCCTACTGCTCTGGAGGGCTGGTTTAAGATGTCGCTCTGAGAAGCTGCTTTGATACAATGGTGCATTATGCATTGTTTTCTCACTGTTTTAAATGGTTTTAACTCCTGTTTTCAGCCTTGGCATGAGAGCCCTTAGCTCCTTTTTGGAAAGAGATGCCTAATCTAGGTTGCTGCTGCTGGTAGATTGATTTTGTTGTTGTTGTTAGTTGTGAACCCATTGTGACCCCATGGACAACATTCCTCCAGGCCTTCCTGTCTTCCACCATCCCCCGGAGTCCAGCTAAGCTCACACCAACTGCTTCAGTGACCCCACCCAGCCACCTCAAGCCCTGCCATGCCCTTCCCCTTTGGCCTTCCATCGTCCCCAGCATCAGTGACTTCTCCAGGGAGTCCTTCCTTCTCATCAGGTGGCCAAAGTATCTGAGTTTCATCTTCAGGATCTGGCCTTTTAAAGAATAGTCAGGGTTGATCGCCTTGCAGTCCAAGGGACTCGCAGGAATCTCCTCCAGCACCACAATCCAAAGACCTCAATTCTTGGGCGCTCAGCCTTCCTTATGGTCCACCTTTCACAGACATACATTGCAACTGGGAAAACCATCGCTCTGACCATATGAACTTTTGTCAGCAAGGTGATATCTCTGCTTTTTAGTATGCTGTCTAGATTTGCCATAGCTTTCCTCCCAAGGAGCAAGTGTCTTTTAATTTCTTGGCTGCAGTCCCCATCTGTGGTGATCTTGGAGCCCAGGAAAATAAAATCTGTCACTACCTCCATTTCTTCCCCATCTATTTGCCAGGAAGTGAGAGCACTGGATGCCATGATCTCAGTTTTCTTAATGTTGAGTTTCAAGCCAACTTTTGTGCTTTCCTCCTTCACCCGCATCAAGAAGCTCTTTAGTTCCTCTTCACTTTCTGCCATGAGAGTGGTACCATCTGCATATCTGAGGTTGTTGATATTTCTCCCAGCAATCTTGATTCCAACTGGTGATTCATCTAGACCTGCCTTTCGCATGATGTGCTCTGCATATAAGTTAAATAGGCAGGGCGACAGTATGCAGCCTTGCCAAACTCCTTTCTCAATTTTGAACCAATCAGTGGTTCTGTGTCCAGTTCTCACTGTTGCTTCTTGACCCGCATATAGGTTCCTCAAGAGACAAATAAGATAGTCTGGGACTCCCATTTCTTTAAGAACTTGCCACAATTTGTTGTGATCCACACAATCAAAGTCTTTAGCATAGTCAATGAAGCAGATGTTTTTCTGGAACTCCCTAGCTTCCTCCATGATCCAGCGTATGTTGGCAATTTGATCTCTAGTTCCTCTGCCTCTTCGGAACCCTGCCTGTACTTCTGCTAGTTCTCGGTCCACATACTGCTGGAGCCCAGCTTGTAGGGTTTTGAGCATCACTTTGCTAGCATGTGAAATGAGTGCAACGGTGCGGTAGTTCAAACATTCTTTGGCATTGCCCTTCTTTGGAATTGGAATGTAAACTGACCTTTTCCAATCCTGTGGCCCCTGTGGAGTTTTCCAAATTTGCAGGCATATTGAGTGTAGCACTTTAACTGCATCGTCTTTTAAGATTTTGCATAGCTCAGCTGGAATACTGTCACCTCCACTAGCTTTGTTGTTGCTCAGACTTCCTAAGGCCCATTTGACTTCACATTCCAGGATGTCTGGCTCGAGGTCAGTGACCACCCCATTGTGGTTTTCAGGGACATTAAGAACTTTCTTGAATAGTTCTTCTGCGTAATCTTGCCTCCTCTTCTTAATCTCTTCTGCCTCTGTTAGGTCCCTGCCATTTTCGTCCTTTATCATTCCCATCTTTGCATGAAACCTTCCCTTCATATCTCCAATTTTCTTGAAGAGATCTCTAGTCTTCCCTATTCTATTGTTTTCTTCCATTTCTTTACACCATGGGTCCTCAAACTACGGCCCAGGGGCCGGATCCGGCCCTCCATGCCCATCTGGAACCGCCACATGTGCGCCTGCGCCAATGCGTGAGCCCACCACTGCCCACCTCGCCCCACACGTGGGGAGGCAGTGGTTTGCTCACTCGGAGAAAACGATTTCCAAGCGAGCAAGCCGCTGCCTCGTGCGCCTGCCTGCCCACACCTCACCTCACCGCACGAGCCTGCCTGCTCCTTGCCACGCACCGTGCCCCCGGCCCTCACTCACCACCGGCACCACCTTTCTGGGCCACGGCCCAGCACCAGCACCTTTCAACTGGCCCCCAGGTAAAAAAGTTTGAGGGCCCCTGCTTTGCACTGTTCATTGAAGAAGGCATTCTTACCTCTTCTAGCTATTCTCTGGAATTCTGCATTCAGTTGGGTGTATCTTTCTCTTTCTCCCTTGCCTTTCACTTCCCTTCTTTCCTCAGCGATTTGTAAAGCTTCCTCAGACAGCCATTTTGCTTTCTTGCATTTCTTTTTCTATGGGATGATTTTAGTTGCTACCTCTTGTACAATGTTGCGAACCTCCGTCCGTAGTTCTTCAGGCACTCTGTCTATCAGATCTAATTCCTTAAATCTATTTGTCACCTCTACTGTATATTCATCAGGGATATGATTTAGGTCATACCTGAGTGGCCTAGTGCTTTTCCCTACTTCCTTCAATTTAAGCCTGAATTTTGCAAGATGAAGCTCATGATCTGAGCCACACTCGGCTCCTGGTCTTGTTTTCACTGACTGTATAGAGCTTCTCCATCTTTGGCTGCAGAGCACATAGTCAATCTGATTTCTGTGTTGACCATCTGGTAAGGTCCTTGTGTAGAATCGTCTTTTGGGTTGTTGGAAAAGAGTGTTTGCTATGACCAGCGTGTTCACTTGACAAAATTCTGCCAGCCTGTGCCCTGCTTCATTTTGTACTCCAAGGCCAACCTTGCCTGTTATTCCAGTTATCTTTTGGCTTCCTCCTTTAGCATTCCAATCCCCCATGATGATGAGGACATCATTTTTGGGTGTTAATTCTAGAAGGTGTTGTAGGCCTTCATAGAACCGGTCAACTTCAGCCTCTCCAGCACCAGTGGTTGGGGCATCAACTTGGACTCCTGTGATGCTGAATGTTTTGCCTTGGATTCGAACTGAGATCACTCTGTCATTTTGGAGATTGTATCCCAGGACTGCTTTTCCTACTCTTTATTGACTATGAAGGCTACTCCATTTCTTGGGAGGGATTCATGCCTGCAGTAGTATACCTGATAGTCACCTGAATTAAATCCACCCATTCCTGTCCATTTTAGTTCGCTGATTCCCAAGATGTTGATGTTCAGTCTTGTCATCTTGTTTGACCACGTCCAGCTTGCCTTGATTCATGGATCTTACATTCCAGGTTCCTATGGAGTATAGATCTTTGCAGCATCGGGCTCTCCTTTCACCACAAGACACATCGGCAACTGAGTGTCCTTTCAGCTTTGACCCAGTCGCTTCACTCTTTCTGGTGCTACTAGTACTAGCCCTCTGCTCTTCCCCAATAGCACATTGGACACCTTCCGACTGAGGGGCTCATCTTCTGGCATCATATCTCTCTGTCTTTGTCTCTCCTGTATATTCATCAGGGATAGGATTTAGGTCATACCTGAGTGGCCTAGTGCTTTTCCCTACTTTCTTCAATTTAAGCCTGAATTTTGCGGCAAGACTGATTTTAATCGGAAGTAAGCCCCATTTAGTTCGATGGGACTCCCTTCCCAAAGTGCGCTGGACTGTGGCAGCCTCAATGCCCCCCTCCGGGGATGGAACAGAGCATGGCAGGGGGTGGTGGGAGGCAGCCAGGGACTCCTGCACCTACTACTCTCCCACCATCTTTCTTGCAGGACCATCAAGACCTGCAAAATTCAACAGGAGAGGATCCAAGTGATCGCGGTAAGTCACTTGTTCCACTGGATCGCTGCAGTGTGGCATCCCTCGCTTAACCTTCCGCAGCATGCTGGAAAATGTTCCAAGTACTTCCCGTGCATAATGGAGCTGTAGCCCTCACCACAAACCCAAAAGTTGAGTCAGTTACTCTCCGCTGTATGGGATGATCGCACTGACGAGGCTGAGTGGGAGCACTCTCCTCTCCCTAAGGCCACGAGGCCGCAGCAGAAAGGAAAATCTGAACTGGCGATTTCCTGATCTGTGGCTCGGCCCCCCAATGGTTTGAGCACACCTGTCCACTCCCGTCCCTTCCTCCAAAGTGTGCAATCCAAGCATTATTAACCTCACCTGCTATTATTGCCAGAATTAGTTGCTCCTTGCATGAGATGATGGAGTTGAAAGCAGGAGCAAAAATGTGATGTTTTGACTGCCACAGGTGACCTTCAGGTGGTGCAGGTCTTCACAGCCTTTGACACCCTAGCTCTGGATTGCCTGCAGCTAGCCAAGGGTCAGACTAGATGTCCTTTGAGTTCCCCTCCAGCCCTAGGATCTTCTTTGGTGGTAGTAAGTGTGCTTCAGGTGGCACAGTCCTGAGCCCCCCTCCAAACCCACCACACAGGTGCAGCAGGATCGCTTCATCCCCAAACTGGATGCCAGATGGGCTCCCCGGAAAGCAGTTTTGAGCCCCCAGGACTCCGTGGCCTCACCTTTTTGAAGCCAATTCCCAAAGAGAAGGTTTATACGTTCCCTGACATGTTTGCTGCGGGCCGCTTTTGCTGCTACTTGGAAAAGCGATCCTTCCCTTGGACCTGCAGAAGTAGAATTCCTCCTGTCGGGAGATGGGACAGGTTCATGCCATCCATTTCTTTCCTCCCACAAGCCCACCTGATCTGGTTCACTTTCTAGGAGGGTTTCTAAAATTAATTCCAGTATTAAGCCAGTCTTGTTCTCTCCCTTGTTTCTCTTCCCTGCTGGAACCTCCTTGTTCATGGTCTTTCCTTTCTGGCCCGGGCTGTGGGAATCACTGACTCTTGGCTGGGCCTACCCTGTAGGGTTGTTGTGACAATAAAATGCATAGAGGCATCCTGCAAAGCACCTTGGTGGAAAAAAGGTGAGGTGCAAATACACAATGCTGAGAAAGTGCAGGAGATAGCACAGCCTCATCCCCTCTCTACCTGTCGAAGGAGGAGGCCATGATGAAGATGAAGAGGAGGAAGAGATGGCTGGTGATGGCAGTGATGGGAAAGGACACTTATGGGGCTGGTTCCCAGCCAACCCCAAGGCACTAGAAGCAAAATTTGAAGCAGGGACTACGGATGGAAGCCTATGTTTGGACAAAGGAAAGCCCTAAACTCCCAGCATGCCCTACCCAGCCATTGCTAACTGAGGAATCCTGGGAATTTAGTCCTTTTTTCTATCTAAACAAGAACAGAATTGCATGCTACTCAGTCCCGGGCCATCTAGTCTGACCCCGGCACCAGCCGGCTCCGCTCACGACATGCCCACCATGTGGATGTCCAGCCTGTCCTTGAACACCCGCACCGATGGGGCTTCAACCTCCTCCCGGGGGCTTCCACACCCTCGGGGTCCTAAATGTCAGGAAGGACTTCCTAGCATTTAAATTGAACCTTGGCTGCTTAGAAGAAATACAGGGAATGAAACAGAGAAACAGAGCAAGTCAGAAGGGGTCTCCCGGGCCATTTAGTCTGACCCCAGTTCCAACAGGCTCCACTCATGACATGCCCACCATGTGCATGTCCGACCTATCCTTGAACACCCACACCGATGGGGCCTCAACCACCTCCTGTGGAAGCCCACTCCATATCTCAGGGGTTCTAACTCTCAGGAATACTCACAGCTTTCCCCCACCCAAGCACTGCTTACACCCCTGCAGTATGGCACCCGGAAGCCTTCTCCTGACTTGCCAGCAAGCTGCTCCCCTTCGGGGGATACGGGCCCTGCCCAACGGAATGGACTGTTTGGGGGCAAAGTGAAATTTGGTCTGGGCATCCTGGCTGGAATTGTTTGCACCAAGAAATCCACACAGGTGGGCTCCCCATCCCAGGAGACATCGAAGGAGGCACATGAAATGTGAAGGTCTGCAAATGTTGCCTGAGGTCCGGAAGAGTTCGGGGGAGGGAAGCGATTTTTACCAGCTGAAAGCATTTTCCAAACAAGAGAGAAAGAAAAAGAGCACTGCTTGGCAGCACTGCGATTGTCCGAAGAGCAGTCCAGAACTCCTCCATTCCACTTCCAAGGAAACCTTGACTCGTTCCCACAGAAAGCTGGAAATGAATCATGTTTCTTGGGTTGGAGCTCTTACTGCCTCAAAGAATGCAATTCAAGGTTTGTTTTTGTCTAGTGGGCATGCCAGTTGGTCAGTGTGACAATCAGAACACATTTTCCTGGGGCGATAGGTTGTACTATCAGAAAATTAATTTTTTTCTAGGAGAGGAGATGATCTGAAATACCACCCACTTTCAAAGCGAGTGAAAGGAGTATTAGACTTTTTGGACAGAAACAGCATTTTTTAAAAAGGAAACAAGATAGGTCCTCTTAATTAAAAAACTGGACATGAAAGCCCAGGCTATAGTCCAGCCTTCTGCAATCTGTTGCCCTCCAGATGTGTTGGACTACAGTTCCCATCATCCCCAGCCAGTGTGCAGCCGGGCACATCCAGAGAGCAGCAGCTAAACTCTGAAAGGGCACAGCCAGGCCTGCCCCTAGAAGACTGCATGTTTCCCTGTGCGAGGCTGTCAGCCAAGACCAGCAGGCCTTTGTTCCACAAGTTTTGGGGTGAATTGGGTACCCCTCAAGAGCATTCTGGCGACTCGCACATGGCTCGCATGACATCTGTTTGCAGGCCGCTGCAGCTTTGCTGAACACAGTGGGGAGGTTAATACACTGTTTAATATGCTACAAAATAGGACAGATACACTTCTGACAACCATAAGCATCGAACGAAGGGAGCTGGAAACAAGGCTCCACTGCCCGCAGTTTTCACCATACCCCAAGCCAGTAAAGGAGATTCGGCTGAGGCTGGACAGCCTGCCCTGGAGCGGTCAGGCGTACAAATACAAGCACGATTCTCCGGGAGGGTGAACAACTCTGGCAACCCTTCAGCCGGGCCAGCCGTGAATAAGAATCCTTTATTGTTTACATTTGGGAGTGAATTTCAGCTGCCGTTCTGCCCAAGGATGCTTCCTGCGTTGCTTCATGTCCGATTTCCCTTTCGAAATGAGGGCAGGAATGAAATGCAAACAAAAGAAGGCATTGTCCATCTTCCCTTGGAGTGAAAGGGGCCATGTTTCCATCCACTCTAATGAAATTAAAATTCCACTGAGGAAACCGGGAGGGGGTTGAAAATTAAGCCCTGGCCACCCGGACGTGCAACCTGGGCCGAGAGTGGCTGACTGGTTCAAAGTCAGTCCTGACCAGCCCCGATCGTCCGGGCGCCCATGCCAATGCCGCCAGCACCACGCCAGCTCTGGGATGGCTGACGGATGGGGCAGTGGTCTGCCCCATGCAGCAGATGAGCCCTTGCGGACAGGTGTGTTTACGCTGGTGCAACTTTCCACTTGTGCTAAGATGTGTTAGCATCGATGCCCATAAGTGCATGCAGATGTACTGGGAGCACTCATCAAGGAGGGAGAGCCAGTGCCTCAGATCCAGCTCAGGGAACAGGCACAGATGCTGAATGACGATTCTGCCTCTGTTCTCCCCAAAGCAGGACGGGGGAGATCCGCATAGGAGATTAGATGGGGCTGGGGACTTGGGGGCACAGACTATAGTCACCCCCCTTGAAGTCGAGGGGCTCCTCAGGGCACTGGACATTACAAAGGCACCAGGCCACGATGGGTTACACCTGAGAGTACCTAGAGAGTTGGCAGGGATTCTCTCATGCCCGCTGGCCTCCATTTTTGAGGCCTCGTGGAGAACGGGTGAAGTTCCAGAGGACTGGAGGGTGGCATCAGTGGTCCCAATTTTCAGAAAGGGTAGTAGAAGGGACATGGGGAATTATAGACCTGTTAGCCTTACGTCCATTATAAGAAAGACAATGGAAAGGCTCATAACAGAGAGAGATCTGGTGATGCTAGATAGGGAAGGGAGGCTGGCGGCCAACCAGCACGGCTTCCGCAAAAACAGGTCCTGCCAGACAAACCTTGTGGAATTGTATGACAAGGTTTCGAGGTGGCTGGATGGAGGGGATGCAGTGGATGTGGTATACCTGGATTTCAGAAGGCCTTTGACAAAGTGCCCCATGATATCCTGGTGGAGGAACTGAGGAGTTTTGGGATACACCAAAGCACTGTCCGGTGGATTAGGGCTTGGCTGACAGACCAAAAGCAGAGGGATATAGCCAGGTTGGAGTCAGTGCAGCGCAGGGCCACAAGGTTGGCGGCTGGTTTGCAGGGGAAGCCGTATGAGACGAGACGGAGGGAACTGGGCCTCTTCAGCCTGGAGGAGAGGAGACTCAGAGGGGACCTGTTGGCGACATGCAGGTGTGTGAGGGGGTGTCACATGGAGGTGGGCAGAGACCTGTTCTCCCCTGCAGAGCAAAGCTCAGGGAGCCAAGGTTCCACTTGGATGCCAAGAAGTCCTTCCTGACTGTTAGAACCCCGAAGGTATGGAATGGGCTTTCACAGGAGGTGGCTGAGGCCCCATCAGTGAGGGTGTTCATGGAATGGCTGAACATGCACATGGAGGGCATGTCATGAGTGAAGCCGGCTGGAGCCGGGGTCAGACTAGATGGCCCGGGAGACCCCTTCTGACTTGCTCTGTTTCTATGTTTCTATGTACTGTATTGTGTGCTCATGCATGTTTGCACAAGTGGAATAAAGGGATTGGGCATCCAAAATAAAATGGAATAAAATAAAACCCAGCCCTGAAATGACAGAAGAAAAGATTGTCCGCAAAACAAAATCCATACACCCCTAGCTAGAGGTTTGAGGGGCAGAAGACGTGTGTTTCATTGCTGGTCCTGGATCCTTCCTAGTTGAAGGGAGGCCTCTGCAATTCAGTGGCTAACTTGGATTGCAAAGGAGGTGTGTTCAAAGGCTGTGACCCCCCCACATCCCCCATAGGGTTCTAGACAGATAACAGATTCCAATCAGCCTTGATCTAAAACTTGGAACTCAGAAGCCTGAGGAATCCCCAGGAAATCTGTATTCTATTATTCAATTATCTTGAAGGGTCTGCAAAGTACCTTTTTCATCTCTAAGGAGCAATTGCAACAATTCTACTGCTAAATCAAGAACCACAAGTTGGTTTCTGGAGTCACTTCTGGTTCATCTCACCTTGAGAAACTAGGAACTGGCTCTCATGCTCCACTGGAGTTGTAGGGAGAAATAGCTCCATGAAATTATTATTATTATTATTATTATTATTATTATTATTATTATTATTATTATTTCCTCCAAGGCTGTTATCCCATCTTCTCTCTGCTTGGGTTCAGGTGTACATTGAACAGCACTGAAGGGTAATGAAGTGCCTGGTGGGGTTAGTTCTCTAGCTGGCACTAGGTGGCACTGTTGTCCCACTTTCACCTTTGTTGAGAGGTACCTGTTGATTAAAGGACCAGTCATCCTTGGCCAGAGAGGCCTGATATTAACTAAGCAAAGCTCCTTCTGCATTAATTCTTGACAAAATATTAAATTTGCTTTTAAAAGACAGATCTTCCAGTTTAAAATACACTTGCAGCTGCTCTTTATCTTTGGAAGGAAAGACTGCCAAAAAAATGCGACATTCCCTCTGGAATTCTGAATCTTCAAGCTTCCTAACGTTATGTTCATTTTCATAGAATCCATTGCAACTCACGCAATTCCACTCAGTTTGGGACATGGCTCATTTTTCTGCTTTCTGTCCCCTTTCTGTGCTTTCAGGAAAAAAGGAGGCGTGAGGATGAGATTGAAAATAAGCGCCATGAGCTTGATCATGATAGGCGCCAGCTGCAGCATCTGAAGGTATAAAAAGTAGCATTTATACCCGAAACAGGTCTTTTCAAAGGTGCAAAGGTGTGTTTGTCTCGGTGAGCCTGAGGGAAATCACAGAAAAGTCAGGGGGATTTTTATTAAAGTGCAAACTTCCACACTGAGAGAGGACCCCTCATCTGGGCCAGTTAAAAAATAAAATGCCCTGTTTGGAGAGAAATAAGTTGCTTTTTTCTTTCCTCTACCTCACCTTCAAGTCTAAGACTCTGAGGGAAAGATGGCTGATGGAAGGGGCTCCTTCCACCGATGAAGAAGGAGAAGCCATGAAGAAGCAGATGGAGGAGGAGAATCTGAAAGTCAAGGAGCTGGAAGAAGTCATCGAAAGGTAAGAGGGAGGGGTCCTCGGTTTTAGGAGCTGGAGCACCTGTTTGGAATTTGCGCAGCTTGCCAGGGGCACTCTCACAAAAAGCCCGCCGTCACTTCAGTCAGCTGAGCTACAAAGCACTTCTTTTCCAGGAACCCAAGTTGGGGAAGTCAAAAGAAAACCGGCTTGTCCGTGGGCACCGGGATCCCGTATTGAAGACCCCCATGTGTTTTAAGTTGGGGTCTGCCTGGGACATTTGATGAGGAAGCAGCAGATTGTTAAACTATGGAACTCCCTACCACAAGGCGGATGGGTGGGTGGCTGCTAAGTGGGAGGGGCTTTAAAAGGGAATCGGGCCAATTCATGTTTTCGGTGGCTCCTACTATTGATGGCCAAAGGCTGTGCTCTGTATCATAGGACTCTGCATACCTTCCATGGGGAACATGGACCTGAGAGTCCTGCAGCAGTCTGCCCTGCTCCTGGGCATCCAAGAGCCCCCTGGTTGGCCACTATAGGAAAGACCGATTTAAAAAAATATTAGATATTTATCCCTCCTTTTTAAGTGCTCAATGAACCTTACATCCTTCTCCTCTTCCTGCTCCCACTCTTATCCTCTCAACAACAACCTTGTGAGGCAGGCTGGGCTGAGAGTCTGGGTGGTCTAAAGTCACCACGTTTCCATGGCTGAGCGGAGAATAGAATCGAGATCACCTGAGACTCAGTCCTATGTTTTTACTCACTATGCCACACTGGCCCTCATTGCTCCTGTGTTCTGTCAGCATCCTTACATTTCTACCAATTGTGCGTTGTCTTTAAGCAAGGGGGTGGCATTGGCAAGATTTTTTGGTAATAAAGATAGCCAACTTGAAACTCTCCCTCCTAAGTTTCCAGCATTAGCAGTACTCCATGGGGTTTTATTCATTGTGATCTGGAGTATATTGAGCATTACTCAAGGGAACTGCAGTACATTGCCCTGATTGGTCAGCAGTGCTCAGTTTACTCCAAATATGAGATATAAGGCACACTCTTATCATTAATGTTTGCTTTTTAAATAAAATGCTTCCAGCAGAAGTAATCATTTTATAGAAACTTTTGAAAGTCAGCCATAAACTCAGGCTAGCTTGAGTTTATGCATACCTCCATTTTATTCTGATAACCTAGTGAGGTTGGTTAAGCTGAAAGATAACTGGCAGCACCATGGGGACTGAAGGGCTCAATAAAGGACCTGTGCCCAACTCCCAGGCCAACCCCACTGGCCCCAAATGATTTCGACAAGCACCGAGGTTGAGGCCCAGCTGGAGCGTAGGGTCTGGAGAAGCCAGCTAAGAAGAGAACAATAAGCGAAAGGCTATTCCATTCGACAGAATCCATCCCTTCAACTCCCAGGCGTAAAATTGCCCTCCAAGTAGTAATCTCTGAACAAGCATATGGATTCCCCTTGACTCTTTTGATTGCAGTGCAAGCTGAAGATGAGGGCTGAATAGACTGGGGGGGTGAGGGTCTGATCCGGGGTGCTTCACAACGAGCTGGCTAGCCATCCCTACGAAGCACTAGGGATCCAAGAAGGCCAAAAGAGAATTACAAAGGAAGTTAGTTTATTTATTTATGAAAAGCTGTTGTATGCCGTCCTTTATATAAATATCTCAGGACGGCTGACAGCAATTTAAAACAATTTAAAACATCTAATAAATCATCCACAGATTAAAGTTCTTTATCTATCAGTCTTTCTTTGGAATATAGTTTTATCCCTGCCAAGCCCTCAAGATCTGCAGAGAGGGAGAAATCATTATGACAGATTGAAAAGCTAATTTTCGGGTATCTTGTCATGGAAAGGAGTGTGCTAGCTAGTCTGAATCTTGCACTGAATAGTATTCTTTCTATCTATATTTGGAACGGCAAGTTACTCTCCTTGCAAAAACGAAAAGGAATGGGGACCAGCAGAGCTGCAGAGTTGCTCATCATCTCCGCTAAAAGTCACGGGACCCGCCCAGCCACCCACACACAGTGCTCAGCACGTCCTCTGCAGCTGGGCAGGAGTCTCGTTCGCGAGAGCGGTTTGTGGGCTGCCCTGGATGTCCCCACTAGCCTGCAGAACAGCCAGCTCCAGCAGCGAGTGGGTCCCTAGTTCAATTCCAAGCAGTTCGACAAGGCAGCCTCCTCATTTGAAACCCCAGAATAAAATTCCAAGAGCCGGTGCTGATGGACTTACGCCCATGACCCTTGGGGTTCCCAGCTCTCTGGTGTCTTGGGCCACACATCCTAAAAGTCCTCGCAGGGTTGCTGCCAAAAACAACAGAGTGAACCCTATTCTACACTCCCATCTCTTTGGAGAGAGGCAGGGACCGAAGAAGTAAAAGCGAGATAAATAAAGCCTGCATGGCAAATCTGGTTTGGTTCTGTCCTGCCAGCATGGATGCCTCGCAGCTCTGAGCCGCGCCATCAGATGTAAAACCGAAAGAGGCTGAGCGTTGGGCAACAGTGAAAAGCGTTTCTATAACAGAACTAATCAACGTGAGATAATATTGCTCCAGATCTGCAATTAAAGAGGTTCAATGTGTATTTTTATTAACTGAAAGATGTCTCGGGTAAAATCGCTCATTCCAAACTCATGAATGCATGTTTAAAAGTTGAGTTGCAATGTTATGCATGCTTGATGGGGGGTAAACCCCAGTGAACTCCATGGGACTTACTTCTGAGTTGATTCTTATTCATGATGTAATTTTTTTCAGCCATAAAAAACAGCCTTCTCAACGGCCCGAACCCTTAACCCTTATAAAATAGCCTTCCTTAAACTGTTGCTCGCCTGCAGAATACAACTCCCATCATGCCCAGGACTCAGGAGATCCACGTTCTAGTCCACACTTGGCCATAAGATCAGTGGTGACTTAGGGCCTGCCGTGAATTCTCAACCTAACCTACCTTGCAGGGCTGTTGTGAGGATAAAATGGAGAGAGTCCCCCATGGAGGGAATCACATGTCCCACCTTGAGTTCCTTGGAAGGAAGGCAGGATTTAAATGTGACAAATACACGTTGAAAACTGAGTTTGTACCGAGTTTGAGTATACTCCGGGGTCTGGGTAGACCCTTGCTATCCTGTTCCTATGACGTCGGGGCCCTAGTATTCAGTCTTCAAGCTGTGTGCGGTTAACAGAAAGCAACAGAAATATTTAGAAAATCAAGTCACAGGGCTTGTTTGTTTGTTTTTAAACCCCACACAGCATGAAAGAGAATAGTACAGGCTCCAAGCTACACTGGATTTTTTTTCTCGTTTGTTCTGCTCTCTTCTTGGCCTGGGTGAATGAGAATGCTAGAAAGCATTGAATGGCAGAGGAAAAATATGGTATCAAGTGTAGGCATGGTTGGGACCCCCCCAGGCTGCCCCTGTCTGTACTATACCACCTGGGGGTGGGTGGAGGACAATTTGGGTTCGAATTCTGGCTTTTGGGGCTTGAATTCTCGCTTTAAAAGGCAGGCCCCTTCCGGTTCTAGCCAGCTAATTCTCCTCTCGTGCCAGGCTGGAGAAAGAGATTGGGGAACTGGAGAATGGGACTTCGGAATCCTCCAACAAAGAGAACTCGGAGACCTCAGAGGAGGAATTTGACGAAGAAAAGTTCATTTACCTGCCGACGGTCAGCAGATTTCTCTCTCTTTCTCAGCTTCACTTAGCTCAGGGGGAGATGTCCAGATAGACCACCCGGCATTCCCTGGAAGTGGGGACAGGGTGCCCACTGTCTAGCCAACATGCCTAAGCTGGAGTGTTTAACCCCCTGGAGTCTGAGGGCCCCCTTCCATTTCAGAGATGGGGGGCACATTCCTGGGTGGGTGGGGCCAAAGGCAGAGGGGCGGGGCCAGAATGCCAGCCTATTTCAGCTAAAGTGCCTCCTGCCAGTATGAAAACACAGGGGAGGATTGAGCAATTCTTTCAAGCGTCCCAGAAAGCTTCTGCTCTTGGGCAGTAGAGGAATTGCATTAGTAGTAACTCCTTCAACTTCTTAGAACAGCAGGGGAAACAAGAACAAAAGCCAGGAAACAAAGGGTCTGTGATTTGGCCCCCTTGAAATATGCCACGGCAGGGCCCCAAGCTTTTGCAAACTGTTTCTGTGCATGGGCTTTTACCAGTTTTTCCCCCAGTTTAGCCCCCCAGAAAGTTCTTCCCCACACGCACTGATATTTATTTATTTAAAATATTTCTAACCCGTCCTTTGCCCAAGCCTCAGGACAGCTTATAAAAAATCAATCAATGATATAAAACATTGCTATGCGTCGCTTCAGGTGGAGAAAGAGACTGTATCCTGAAATGAGGAGGGGAAATGATGGAAAATGTTTTGTGTGGCATCAGGAATCTCCATGAGATTATCAGTAATTCCTCCTGCTTTGTATTCTTAATATGTGTTTGCTTGTCTTTCCACAGCTGCCAATGGGTGCAGCCAAAGGTAGGTGCCAACATTCATCTTTTTAAAGAAATCCTAACTCTTACTAAAACACCTAGAATGGCAGAAACAGCTCTCTTTCTTTGGCAATATTCAAAATGGGAGAGTGGTTGTTGTTTTTAATGTAGGCCCCTTTCCAGAATCTTCTCAGCCATTCTGAAATGTGGGGTTCCTGCAGCTCCATTCTCCTGCTTTATTTTCCTGTGGGTTTCCATTCCCTAAATGTGGATCCTTTTAAATCCTGGTTTAAGGAAAACGATTCTCCAAACTCCGTTCTGAAACTGAAGAAGTGCAGATCAACCAGCTTCTGTCGACCGAAGGATTTTCCCCACCGAGTTACTGGTGTCCATTTGCACGTCCATAAACTAGTCCTCTGCTCTCCCCGTAAATGAAAACAGCCCTGTGCAATTTGCACGTATGCGTGTCCCAAGGCTCTCTGAAGGTGGGGTTTTTCTGAGGGCACGCCCAGAGCTATGCGCCGGTGCAAAAGCAAAACCCTGCACCCATGACACCGTAAGGCAGTTTCGTGGGCGATCCCATCCGTTCTGCTCTGTGCTTCCCTCGCGGATGCATGACGGCGGTCTTGGAAGAGCCGCAAAATGCTGGAAAGAAAGAAAAATCATAGCACTGTAGAGGTGGAGGCGATCTCACAGATCTTGTAATTCAGTCCAGGCCGGCTCCATTTTCGCTGCTGTGCCCCGGCTTCTCTCCATCACTCGCCGACAACCGCCTTCCTGCTGAGTCTGTTCCTTTTAAACAAGAACCCCAGGAAGCCATGTGTCACATCCCTCCTTTCGGATGAGCCTTGCAGCCTTATATTATGATGCCGAGTTCATCCTATTTGTTTCCCGCACTTTTGCATCAGTGCGGTGACCTTCAAGTTCATGAGTGCTGAATCTTCCCTGCCACATTTCCCTGTAGTGGACTCAGATCCATGCCTGAGATCTTGCCCCCCGTGTTCTTCACTGGAATGCTTGGCTTGGTAGTAAGCGCTGAACTTTGACCCCCTGCCTCAGGAGTTGTTTTAAAGCCCTGAGGATAAGCTTTGCAGAGCTCCTGCCAAAAAACATTATCCTGGTCTCTCTGTGGGACACCCTGTTGTCCTCAAGAAGTCCTTCTATCTTAGGTCATGGCCCACAAAACCAAATTTTTCCTAGCAATATCTGCAGAGCCGGCAGGGGAAAAAAGCCCTAGGGCTGCCTCTGGCACTGCAGCTATCGAGCAGTATAGAAATTTAATAATTATAATGAATAATAGGGCTGTAGCTTCCATGAGGGAGTCCATCCATCTCTTCTTCTGCCTTTGACTTTCCTTAGCAGAATTGCCTTCTCCAGTGTGGAGACTCCCCGTGGAGGGCTTTTGAAGGCAGTCCTAAGGTCCAGACAGATGTTTGTAGAAGGAGGTGGCAAGGAGGTGTTGCCGAGAGGTAGTCCCTGCCCCTTCTCCAGTCTCCCACAGAGCGTTTCCTTAGACTCTCAGCCCCATCCTTCCTTCTGCTGTAACATAGGAACATAGAAACAGAGCAAGTCAGAAGGGACCTCTCAGGCCATCTAGTCTGACCCCCAGCTCTGCTCACGACATGCCCACCATGTGCATGTCCAGCCTATCCTTGAACACCCTCACCGATGGTGCCTCAGTCACCTCCCCTGGAAGACCATTCCACACCCTCGGGGTCCCAACTGTCAGGAAGGACATCCTGGCATCCAAATTGACCCTTGGCTCCCTGAGCTTGGCTTCGTTGGAGCACATCCTGCCCTCCTCTGCAGGGGAGAACAGGTCGCTACCCACCTCCGTGTGACACCCCCTCACATGCCTGTATGTCGCCAACAGATCCCTCTGAGTCTCCTCTCCTCCAGGCTGAAGAGACCCAGTTCCCTCAGTCTCTCCTCATATGGCTTCCCCTGCAAACCGGCCACCAGCCTTGTGGCCCTGCGCTGCTCTGACTCAATAGACTGGCAAGACACCAAAGGCCAAAACATGTGGGATCCACCACCATCTTCTATCTGTGCTTTCATTTGAGACAGAGGGAATGGCACGGGGTGTCCACGGACCAACTCTACAGAGGACAGTCCTCTCTGAAGGCTTGTCAGAGCACTGTCCTCTGTTTCAAGGGTGGTCCAAGTCCAGGTTTAACAGCAAAGGACCAAGGGGGACCAGGAATGACCCACGAACGGTGAGCATCTTGGTGGTAGCAGGCTGAGGGGGTACCCAGGGCAACCAGCGATGGTGAGCTGCATTTGCATTGTCATCAAATTACCATGTTTCCCTCCTAAATTTGCATGTAGAAATATAACTAAGAAGGTGCAAGTCTTGTGCAAGCTCTCGCCCTCATTTGTCCTCCCTCCTGCGGATCGGTGAGGCAGTGCCTCGAGGGACAGGCTGTGTGTGGAGCTCTTCCCGAAGAGCAGGTCCCATGGCCAGGGCCCCCGGAACTGTGCCCCTGTCCGCGATTGCCCCTGCTCTCCCTCTGGCCCAGATAATGGCAGAATGGAGAAGCGGCATCCGGGAGCTGTCCGGGCGGCTTGCTGCTGGCTCTCTGCTGCCAGGGTGGGGAAGGGGATCACGGGGACCATGGGGGTGGGGAGGGCGGTCCACCAGGGAGGGGCCTTGCCCTGGCCCACCCGGAGCCCGTCTTGGCATGGGAGAAAGCAGCAGAGCTTCGTGGAGGAGCAGGCCGGGGCCGAGGCTGGGAACAAGCCTTGGTGTTCCACCAAGAACTCCCCTCTTTTTTTTCCTCCTCTGAAGTGGACAGCAAAGTCTCCCAACACCCCGTGAAAGGGCTTGAAGGCATGAGGAAGGCAGGTAGGTTGGGCACCTCTCTGGGGACTTCTCCGACGCGGCTGCTCCCCAGGGCTGCCCCCGCTGGCCGCTTTGCCTGCTCGGGCCACAGACTCACGTTCGGGGAAAGGCTTCCTCCGAGGCCTCTTTAACCCACTGCAATCGGACGGTGGGGGGCTTCCTGTGAGACCCAAAGCCCCCTTTGGCTGCCAGAAGTCTTCGGTCACTGCTGCGCTGAGCTGCTTATTGCCTGCTTCCACGCCACGCACATTGAAAATAGATTTGCGCACTGGATTCCACTTGGCCAGGACATGCTTTGGGGCTGGGGCTTCTCCACCCTCTTTTCTCCATCCCATGGCTTGAAAGGGAAATGTGGTTGACAGCTTCTCTGAGAAAGTGCAGAGTGCTTTCCTTTCCCTGCTGAGCAGCGCGACTGTTTGCACACATGAGATTTCCAGGCGAAAGGACTTAGCTGGTGTAATTTCTAGATCATCTCCGTTCTTGGAGCATCCTCTCCTTTTAAAGAAATTAAGCATTCCTAAGTGCAGAATTTAATGGGAAATTTGAAGTGCACAGAGGTTCGTTTATTTAGTCTAATTGCAGAAACTAATTGGAAAATTTGGTTGCTCTTTTTCTGGCCTAACTACAGAATCTAATAGGAAATTTGAGATAAATAGATTTGCATGTTGCTAATTTAATTGCAGGATCTAATGGGAACACCTTAGATAACTAGACTGGCATAATTTTATTCTGATTTCAGATCCTAATTACTTGATGTGTTGTGCGTAAAGCATTGCTCAATGCATTTTAACAGGAAGTAACGAATGCAAGAGATCATGATGTGGAATCAAGTGACACGTGAACTCTTGCACTTTTGTGCTGTGATGAGTGGCCAGACGTGCAAACTCACCACAACTCCATGGCCCATAAGTTCCATGCTCCTTCTCCACTGCTGTCTGGGGCTGATGGGAGTTGTACGCAGTGGACTTGGGGAGCCGCATGTTGTGTTCCTTTGACCAACACATGGTTCGTTTCACATGGCTATGGGGTGGCATACAAATGCAATCAATCAATCAATCAATCAATCACATAGTGGGGAACTGAACCCTTATTTTTCCTGACAGCTGATGGTTTTCCAGCAGAAGTCCCATCTTCCCCGCCAAAAAGGCTGATGACTTCTTCATCAGCAGGGTGTCTTACGGCACTGCAGTGTCCATTTTGAGCTTTCGGGCGCTGCCCAAAGTGCCGAACCGATCGGGGGGGGGGGCGTTCAGCACCGGGGACAGCTCCTACCACGGGCCAGTCCCCCATATCTAAAATCTTTCTGTGTGCGGAGATTCCAGCTCACAAGGTGTAAAGCTGCAGAAGCCAGACCATGCCCAGTGGCCGTGGAGACCAGGTGCCCCCCTCTGCATCCCGGCCCTCCACCGAGAGTGGTGGCGCTTCCCTTGGCATGGAGCTCAGGGACAGATCCTCAGCCCTGCCGCTAATGCAAAACACCACCACGTTGTTTTGAGCGATTCCCCTGAACCTCGCCAGAGCAGTTCTCACACTCGATTCGTTTCCATGCTCCAGGCTCACATTTTATCTATGCCGTCTGAATTTGCTTTCCTGCGGCACGTGAGTGTGTGTGTGGGGGTGGCATCCCAAGTGCATCGGGGCTGCTAATCGATGGCATGGGGTACAAGGGACTGGAGCCCCATTTTCTCACCAGGGACGAGGGAGAAAGCAAAAACCAGGTGCCACGTCTTCCTTGCACTGTTCTTCTAGGAGGTTTTCCCGGCAGGGGACGGCAAAAGAAGTTTCTGCAGCTTTTCTTTCTCTGGTCGACCTGTGGAGGCAGGATTCCCTCCGTGTTCTTCCTGGGAACCAGGAGGTTCTGCCTGCCAGTGACCCTTGATTTTCTACCTGATGCATTTTGCTGGCACTATATTTAAAAAGCGATTAACTTATAGAACACTCCATGTCTTAGACAAGTTTAAAAGGAAACATTAGATAACTGCAGGAGCAGCCGTTTGTCAGAGCCATGCTAGTTCAGTGGAGCCTCCATGTTCAGAAGCAGTGTATCTTGAATACAGGTTGATGGGTAGGGATGGCAGGAATGGGTATTTAACCACATGTCCTGCTTGGGGGCTTCATAGCAAGGGAGGGATTCTGGCACTCAGGGCACCCAAATCATCCTTGCAATTATTAATTAATTGTTTAATTATTGATAGTTAATTATTAACTATTAATTAGCGACATTGGAGGTATGAGATGTTGGTAAATTGTGCTGCAAACATCCCTGCTCTGTGCCACTGATGTGCTGATTGGAACATAACTATCCGGCTTTCCTGCAGTGCTGAATGTTGCTAGGCTGCTCGCAGCTCCAGGGAAGTGCACAAATGCATTTTCCAGCCCTAAAATCCATCTAGAAATGCCTGCCTTGAGATAACATATTTTTCTAAATGCCCATGTTGTTCAAAAATGCCCGTACAGATTAAAATGCCAGTGTCTGTGCAGATTTTTAAAAGCAACTTGCTTGTAGGAGCACAAGGGAAGGGGCCAAAATTTTCTCAATAAACATTGGCATGGACTGGAAACAGAGACGCCCATCCTTAACTGCAAAGATATCAGTGCATGGAGAGAACTGTTTGGGGTTTCTGCTTCTCTCCTTGTTCCTGTAAGGGATGCATTGCCAGGCTCTGTCCCATGAACTGTTCAGTGAGGCTGCTGTGGAATCCCCCATATGCCTTTGCCATATTCTCTTTGCTTTTCAGGCGTTGGGGGAAAATTCCTCCAGTGTTTGTCTTCACAATGTAATCAAGGTTAAGGTTCCATGTTTCTCTTGAAGTCCTCTTTGCTCTGCACCCCTAATGTCACAGGCCTGGTGGCCAACGGAGCACTCCTAGGATCCGGGGTTTCCCAGGCATGGAGACCTTCTGGCCTCTGATGCTTCAGTTGTTTTCCAGCTTTCAGCAGTCCCCCCTCAAGCAGCAAACTTTGAAACATCCTCCTAAAGCTTACGCTCCAACCAGACCTGTGATATTCTGGCATTGTTGTGCTTCTGACCCCCTCTGCCCCAGAAGGGAGGTTCTGAGACCTTCTGCAATGCTGATTTCGACCCCCGAGTTGGAGGACGTTTGGCAACCCCCTGGAAATGTGAGGTTTTGCACAGATGTAGGGACAAGCAGCTTGCAGGTCAGAGCAGATCCTCCCCGCTTGGCCAGATGGAGCTGCATCCCTTGCTTCTCTCCTTCGGGACTTTGCCTGTGGGCATGGCCAGACTCGCTCCACAGCCGCTTCCCTTCCCACACCCTGCCCTGCTTGTGCCAAACATCTTCCCCTCTGCGCTTGGGGTGGGAGCGGACGGCGGGAGGGGCGCATGGGGATTCTGGGCGCTCACTCTCCTGTTTGTGTCCCAGCTGTGTACTCTGTGGAGATCACTGTGGAGAAGGACAAACTCACGGGAGAAACCAAGGTCCTTTCCAGTACCACTAGACTTCCCCAAGACCACTCAGTCCAGGGGGTCAAAGTGTACGAGGACGATATGAAAGGTACGCACCCCAGCAAGGGTCCAGACATCAGGTGTGTGCCAGGACCAGATTGGCCCCAGCAAGCATGGCTGCATCACTCGCAGGGCCTTCCCTGGTTGGCCCCTCGCCTTTCTCCCCAGGCTTCCCTAGAGGTGGGAAGGTCTGCCTGAAGCCAAGCTCAAATCCAAGGTGCAAGAGGCCAGGGAGACTCAACCCACTCATGCCCAGCCCTGTCGTGACTTGCAGTGCTCCATAAAGGGTTTTATTTGAGTGGGATAAATAGCACTTTTGGGAAAACGGACCAGCTCTAGAAACGGAGCATGGCAGCGCCAGGGGTGGCCTGGCAGCGCATCGTGCATCAGCGTCACCCTCCTGCTACCTTTCCTGCTTGGGTTCTAAATGTGTGAAAATCAGTAGGATGTTGTGTGTTTGATGCATCGTTGAACAGAGTCTTCAAACTGAAAACCAACTTGTGCTTTTCTTCTGATGGTGTCATCTCAAAAGCACCAGGTATACTTCCTCCTCTGCATATTTTCTTACCGTTTCCATCCCACATCCCCATGGAAGCTTCAAAGGCCACGAAAGGCTCAGGAAACCCAACTGTTCCCCACCAGCTTCCAAACCGGAGAACCATCCGCTCCTTCTCTGCTCCAACATGGCCTGCTTTCCTTTCCTTTATTTTCGGGTGCCCCAATCTGTGCACACAAACAGTCATGAATCCAGGACAGCTGGTCTTGCATACCAGGTACCTGTGGCAGGTGGTGGCCCTCAGAATTTCTGCTGAGTTCCATGTGAACTTTTCAGGCTGTACAAAGGGAACAACTGCATGAGTTGGGAAGCCGAGAGGCCCACTAGGAACACACAGGTACCCTAGAATCATTCTGGCAGAGCTTCAAGGTGCCTGCTGTGGTCCTACATTTAAAGCCAGCAGTGGAGGCATATGTTCCTAGCCCTCATTGTGCACCCTCTCTGTCTCCCCTTACAGTTGTCCATGCTCTCCAGGCTGAGGATGGGGCTACGGAGAGTGATATCCAGCAGCTCAGCTCCTCTGAGGTGGACGAGCTCATCCAAAGAGCAGACGAGGTGACCATGAGTGAGGGCTCGGAGAAGGCCAAGCTGCTGGATGAGGCGACGGCCATCTCCTCCTCTGGGAAAGCACCACCTCCGAAGGAGATCACCGGTGTCAAGGCCAAACCGATTGAGAAGCCAAAGATCCTGATTTCGGAGGATGGCCAGGAGCCCAGCCAAGACCAGCCGGTCACCATGATCTTCATGGGCTACCAGGATGTGGAAGATGAGAACGAGACGAAGAGGGCTCTGGGGGTCGAGGGGACAGTCAAGGCGGAGCGTGTGGTGATCAATGAGGAGGAGGAGGACCCTCCGCTGCCTGATTACATGGGGATGGACCTCTTCATCCCCCCCAATGGCAACGTGTTGCAGCTGATGGATGTCATGAAGCCCGGGGACCAGCTGAGCCAGCACCTGACCTCTCCCCGCTATGTCAGCCCCAAACGTTCCAAGCGCCGCGTTAAGCGCAAGAAGCAACGCTGCAAGTGCTGCTCCGTGATGTGAGCGCCCAGCGAGCGCCCAGCCACCCACCACTCCAGATAGCCTCTGCAGACTTACTCTGATTTCCGCTCGACTCCATCTTGTTGCTTACCTGTCTAAGTTCTACAAAAAGTTTCCAGCATTTTGATTTTTTTTGCCTTTCATTTTTGCTTGTCAAGACATGCTGTTCCCACCTCCATAGGTTTGTTTGTTCATTTTTATCTTCAAGTGAAAGGGGGAATAGGAGTGCAGTGCTGGTGAGAAGGTATCCAGTTTCTAACTCACAGAGCTGCTGGTTCATTTCTGTCTTTGCTTCCATCCATCCATCGATCCATCAGTCTGTCCATCCATCCATCCATCCATCCCATGTATTTCTTCACTCTGCATAAGTGGAATAAACACCAAATATTCTATATTGGATGACGTGATCCTTTGCCCCTTGACGGGAAACCTGAAACCAGCCTTTCTCAACCCAATATGCTCTCCACACGCGGAACGATGGTTCCCTCAACCTCCCAGCCAGCTCAGTCCTATTCCTCCGAAGGACACCAGCTTGACGAAAGCTGCCTTAAACTGCCATGATCAAAAATCCCTTGAGCCCACTTCATGAAAGACTTAAGAAGCACTTAGTAAAAACAAGGGGCCAATTTCTCCCATCTTAATGGACCTGTCCCATTTCTGTGGCCTGAAACGGGCTTTTCTCATGGACTGAGGGGAAAAAATGATCAAGCAATTTTTTGATTAGTTTGTAGGTTCTTCATAAAGTTCTGGGACTTTATAGGTTCTTAGTTTGTAGGTTCTTCATAAAGTTCTGGGACTTTATAGGTTCTTAGTTTGTAGGTTCTTCATAAAGTTCTGGGACTTTCAGAATCAAGTGGCCTTGAAGATATCCTAAGTCTTGCTTAGGAGACAACTTTTTTTCCAGAATAACAATGATGACACTCTTTTACAAAAGAAGATTGGAAAAGAAGCCTTGCACAAAATTAGCCTATTTTTCCTCGTGCTTTAAAGAAGGTCCCTCCGTTTGTGCTCAACAGAAAACCAGAACTTGCTCCAAAACCAGCTCCAAAACCACGAAGAACTGACTGTAGCTCCTGGAATACTTGGTTCTCAGCACCAACCCAATTGTCAAAACTGACCCTGAAGGCTACAAGAACATAGTTCTTGGGCCACTGATCTTCACACCATTTTTTTCAGGAACCTGATAGTTTCTTCTCTACTCCATAAAAAGGGGAGGGGGTCATCCAATCTACATCCTGGTAGTGCAAATCAAAAACAATACATATTGATATGAAATTATGTTGGAAGGTAGATTCCAAAATGGAGCTCAGAGAGCTGTGCCCACTAACTTGCTTGGAAAACGGATTCTGCAAAGATGAACAATGCATAGAAAAAAGGACAAATGCCAATTCTTTATGTAAGAGAAGCTAGCTGAAGCAGAATGTGTTTACAGAATGCACAGGATTACAGGTACAATCCAAAGCCATGAGTTCTACAACTCTTAGACCCAAATACTCAACAGGTAAAGATGGAGAAGAGATCCCTGGAGTTGACCTTTTAATGCAGACTTGCTGAATTTTACCATTTCCATTGAAAATGCCAACAGGGTTTTTTTTACCCTTCAAAATCCACATGTTTCCAAATTTTGAGGTGGACTTCCCCAATCCAAAACTCCCCATACCAGCGTGCATATGTCACGGGGAAGCGCGCTGAGATAAACATATCTTATTGAAAGCAGCACTTTAAAATGCTTTCTTTAGAATATTGGGCAAAAATCCCTACCAGCTTTCATGCAAAATTTCCCCTTGAATTTGGGAACGATGAGAATTTAAAATGGGTTAAATTTGGATTAAATGGATTTGCAGAGTTTTGTGGTGAAGAAAATTTAAGAGTGGGAGGATGAGGACCCCCTGGAAAATCAAAGGGACATCTGTCCATCCTCACAGGGGGTCCAGCCCATGGGGTCCCATACCTTCGATGGAAGGAGCATTTGCCACTCCGTCCTTTCCTGGCTCTGGAATTTGGAAATTGACGTCCCTGGGGGTGGTATTTGAGCCATCATTTCATACCAGCTTCTGTGGTAGCTGGCAGTAAAACACTTTTCTTATTCCTGCCCCACCATCTTTTTTAAGAAAGAGACCTTGACAACATGGGATGTGTAAATGCAATTAAAGATTGACCTTTGCCCAAGTCCTTCCCAAATCAAAGTGGAACCAAGTCAAGTCATATTATCTTGGCAACTCATTGTACCTGGCTTGAAAAGTAGAATAATCATCACAATAGTAATCAACAATATTCAACAATATTCAACAATAATCAAGAATGTTCATAATAGTAGTCATAATAATCATATTCATAGTAATAGTAATGAACTATATTCAACAATATTCAACAATAATCACATAATCGTAGTCATACTAATCATATTCATAATAAACACAATGATCATAGCTTAGTTCACTATTTGCTTTCTTCTGAAAACGCTCAAAGTCAGGCACCAGAGAAACCTGCCCCAGGTCCCCACAAGCCGTTCTCCACCTTTCCCTGTCTGAGTCTTTCTTGTGTTGTTCGCTTGTGAATGATGTTCAGTGCAGCCCTGTGCTTGGTAACGGGCTGGGATCTCTCTTGGACAAAAGGTGTGTGAGGTCCATAGAGTGCAGCTTGCAGAAAGGCCTGCCTTCGCACGCGGAAGTGCCAAAGTGGACAGCTCCTCCTCCATCCCTGGGTCTTGCAGCAGAGAGCGCGGGAATGACTTGGATTTCACGGGTCCCTGGGAGGGCCAGACCCCCCGAGTGCCCACCGTCGGGAGGAGTTGCACCGCAGCTCCCGGCTGCTCTGAGCCATGCTGGCGGAGCCGTACGACCCACCTGGAGCCGGCCTGCAGGGTAAGACTTCTCCAAACACGTGATTCCCAAGGCCTTTGGACACCCAGAAGGACTGCCCACCTGCTCCCCTGGAGGACCACCTTCCCGGCAATCGGGATGGCAAAGCCGGTAATAACACCTCTTGCCTTCTTTTTGGGGTGAGAAGCTGGGCAGAGCACTTGGGGGAGTCCACTGCCTCCCCTCGAGCCCCCAAGTGCTGGGCCGGAGATTGGGTCCTCCTTTTCTGAGCTCAGAGGTCTGGCAGCAAAGGAGCTGTCTGGGGTCCTGCCACAGCCATCAGCTCCCCCAGAGGATCTGACACATCTTTCTCCCTGCCCCTAAGCACAAAAACATTCAGGAACATACCAGCTCTGCCTGCGGGGACGGGCACAGAAGGCCTGGGCAGCTCTTTCATGCTGGGACAGCCTGCCATTGGTTTGGGAGCATCTGCTTTCGAGGGGCTCCCTTGGTCAAGAAAGGGGAGACTAAGACCTCCCTTCCCTCAGAAGGACCCACATCAAACTGGGAATCTCTCCTCGTGAGGATTTCTTCTGCACACCCCTGCACGGTAGGACAGTCGTTTCCCTGCAAAGGAGCACCCCACAGGCGCCCTGCTGTGTTTCCCTGGAACCAGCAGAGTGACCTTTGGTGGGGCAGAAAATGTGATCATTAGAAGGGGCCAGTCTATTTAGGCCGGGGCTCCTTTGAGGTTTCGGATGCCTGCACCGTGCCCATTTCCATCCAGGGGTGCCAGATTAGGGTCAGAAAACATCACTAATGATGCAATGCGTTGCATTTGCTGCCTTGTTAAGGAAATATCTGGGCAAGTTTAGAGTCAGCAGTCAACAATTCTGCAGTGGAAGGCAGAGAGAGGAGGGGGAAAGCAACCCTACAGGAGAGGTCCAGTTATCCCTTGAATGAGTTGGTGTCATGTGAATCCTTTCCACAGGGAGACCGGAATAGGTCAGGACATCCTTGCAAAACATCTCTACCTATTTCGGGGGAAAGGAGAGGGAAATGTTGCACCCCACAAGCTCCAAACCAACGGAGGCAGGGGATTTCCCAAGACTTGGTTCTGCTTGTCATCTGGCATCCATGGTGCTGAAGGATGGCCTGCCAGTTGATCCCAAGTGGGACCTTGTTTTCCCAGTATCTCCCAAGCTGGCGATCTGTTGACTGACCCGGGGCAGCGCTGACCACACCATCCAGAAAGTGTTCCTCCTCTTGTGCTTATGGCCAGGTGTGCAGATGTAGCCATCCGAGGATGAGCTGAACCGCCAAGGGGGCCGTGCCAGGATTCCAGGCAGGGCGGGGGTCTTTGCCACAGGCCCCGAAGAGGGTCAAGTCCACCACGAGCTCCACCTCCCTGACAACGGACTGCGATCTCTGTAACTGCCCCAGTTTTCTTTCAGCAAGACAGGACCCCATGGCCTTCAAGAAAGCAGCACCAGCGGTGAACTTATGTCCACCATGCCTTGATATGTCCGATGGAGCCTCCCAGAGCCGGCTGTGAAGGAGAGACCGGAGGACACCCAGCGAGAAAGCGACATGCATGCACACCCCTTTCCTACGAGGCCTCGGACGGGGGGATCCCCGGGGGCCGAGTGGGGCAGCCTGCCCTGCCCCACAGATCCTGTAGTTAGCGTGTGCCACATTTCTCCTCCCAGCATCACCTCTGGTCGCCGTCGCAATGAGTAACATCTGTGTCTATCGCAAATTTCGGGGCAAATTTCTCGAGCCCCCCAGCAGCTAGAAGTACACTTTTCTCTTTCTCTTGAGCTTTACAATTGCTACAATCAATTTCCGCTTCTCCAATATTGGCTGTATTATGCTAAGCTGAGCAAATAAACGGAGTGAATCCTTAGAAAAAACCATAAGAACAAAGTTCTTCATTCACCCGCGCTTTTTTTTATTTTTCCAATCATAATTCAGCCACGGATTTTTTTTTTTCTGATTTCTATCCTGCCTTTTTTCCTACAAAGGGCTCAAGGCAGCTTACATAATTCTCCTCCATCTTATCCCCACAACAACAACAACCCTGTGAGGTAGGCTGGGCTGAGAGTGTGTGACTGGCCCAAAGTCACCCAGTTGGCTCCATGGCCAAGTGAGGACTAGAACCCTGATCGTCTGAGACCCAGTCCCATGCTCTAACCACTACACCACACTGGCTCTCAGATTTGCCAAGACTGGGAATGGCAGCTAGTGTGGGGCTGACTCTGCCCACTTGGTGCCCTCTGGGGGAACAACCCCAGCCCCCAGCATCCCCAGGCAGCCACCAGGAGATCAGCAGCCCAAGGGCTGGGCCTGGGGGCATTAGCTCCGGCGTCAGATCGCAGAGCCCTGCGGTGCCCAAGGGCTCCAGCGTGAGGGTTGAGTGGGGCAGGTCTCGCCAGCGCCACACAGCGAGTGGGTGGTGGGGCTGAAGACCCCCGGAGCCTTATTGATGGCCGTCTTTCCTGCCCCACAACCCGGAGGCATCAAAGCCGCCCCCTCCCCAGGAGGGCTGTCCTGAGGTGGGTTGCCATGACGGAAACGTGGAGCTAAGTCCGGTCAGTTATTGAGGGTGGGTCCCCCACAGGAGGGCTGGGGATGATGGGCAGTGTTCAAGCCTCTTTTGGTGCCAGCAGGCAGCTCCCCAGGAACTCTGGTGCTCAACTGTTCAGGGTTTCACAGGTAATGCCCACAAGCCTGAGGGCAGCGAGAAGCACATTGGAAAAGCTTCCAACTGGGACCTCTATGGACAGTTCCAGTTCAAGCCCCCTGGGACATGGGGAGGTGCTTTCTCATACCCTCCCCTTCATTCCTGCAGCCACGGGTATCGAGAGAGAGGAGCAAGGAGTTGGGGAAGTTAGTTGGCCGAAAACAAGGTCCAAGCCGGATCGGGGCTCACGGAGAGGCACATGACACGTGGTGACCTTCTGTCCGTGGGGGAGAACTGGGGGCACCTTCCCTCTGCAGCCCCCATTGGCACACGTGGTCCCCAAAGGCTTGGCCCTCGCCATCACTGGCTCCTCCCCTGGAGCTGGAACGGAAGTGCCCCAGGAAAGCAACTCAAGCTGGGACTCGTGGAGGACCACGAGGCACCTGGAGGGCCTTCGCTCCCTCGCAAGCACCCACTGGGGCCCCGTGGTTCCCCCGCTGAGTCCGGCGCAGGCGCCCCCTCCTCCTTCTGGCTCACCACTGGGATCGGGGAAGAGTGGCCACGGGACGCAACTGGGGGGCTGGCTGGGGACCCACGCTTCGCCCATTCGAGCTGTAGGATGCCCGTCAGGTATGCCCGGCTCAAAACTCCCAACAGGTGACCTACACAGTCCTGCAAGGAGGCGGAACGAGCCATGGACGCGCCTTCCTTCTTGGAGACACCTCGACTCCGCCGGCCTTATTGTCCATCTATCCACACAGATATTCAATTTGCATCCCACCCAATGGCCAAACAGCTCTCTCAGTGCTTCATAGCAGCATATTTAGCCACAATGTAAAATATTAAAACATATTAAAAGACAGCAATGCAAACTTGAAAACCAAATAGAAGACAGAAAAGCAAAGATTTCCTTGAAAAGACCAAGCCAGACCCTGTCTAACAACTTCCAGCACTCAGCAACTGCTCAGATGCTTTGCCGTAGGGGGCAGTCGTTACCTGGAGGTTAAAAGATGGTAAACTAGGCACGGGGGAGGGTGGCTCAGGGGGGAGCACGTTCTGGATTGGGGGCCACCACCAGAAGCGCCCGTCCCCTCGTTGCCCCCATGACAGCCTCCCTCGGAGGAGGCAGGCGGGGGAGGCCCCAGGCTCGGTTTGGTGTCCAGGTAGGTCCTGGTCAGGTGAGGCGCTCCACTGGGTGAGGTGGCTTCCCGCCACGTGGGCAGAAATCGGGGGGGATGGCCCCATTCAGGCATTTTCCAGGCCGCTTTGGCACAACTAGCAAGGCAGCCGCCAGCGCTTCACCTGCCCCTCGCCCTTCCCCTGGCCACGCATCCAGTCCGTCAAAGCGCCTCCAAACCCACCTGGAGCCACCCCAAAGACACGCCTGCCAGCAGGAGGAGGACATGGGGCCGGATCGCGCGCAATGTGGGAGAGCCTAGTGGGATCGCCCGACCTCAGGGGCTCCTTTGCTTCTCCTTTGCAGCACCGGCAGCGGGAGAAATGCCCTGTTTCGTTCTGAGCCACGAAGGCAACATAGAAGCAGAGCGAGTCAGAAGGGGTCTCCCGGGCCATCAAGCCTGACCCCCGGCTCCAGCCCGCTCCGCTCACGACATGCCCAACATGTGGACGTCCAGCCTGTCCTCGAACACCCGCACCGAAGGGGCCTCAACGACCTCCCGAGGAAGCCCATTCCACACCCTCGGGGTCCTGACTGCCAGGAAGTGCTTCCTGGCATCCAAATTGAACACTGGTTCCCTGAGCTTGGCTCCGTTGGAGTGCGTCCTGCCTTCCTCTGCAGGGGAGAACAGGTCTCTGCCCACCTCCATGTGACACCCCCTCACACACCTGCATGTCACCAACAGATCCCCTCTGAGTCTCCTCTTCTCCAGGCTGAAGAGACCCAGTTCCCTCAGTCTCGCCTCATACGGCTTCCCCTGCAAACCGGCCACCAGCCTTGTGGCCCTGTGCTACTCTGACTTCAACCTGGCTATATCCTTCCTGTAATGAGGGGCCCAGAACTGAGCACAATACTCCAGTTGCAGGTGCACCAGAGTTGAATAGAGTGGTCGTAACACCTCTCTCGATCTAGAAGCCACACTTCTGGCTATGCAACCAAGGGTGGCGCTCGCCCTCTTGACCACCGCAAGGAGGGTGTTCCCCCAAGGGATCGCAGCCCCCAAAGCGGACGTGTTATCCCTCGCTTTTTCCCCTTTGGGGGGGGACTGGGGATTTGGGCTGCCTGAAGCCCGAAGCCGGCAGAGGAGGAAAGCGTTTCCTACCCCCACCCTGGATCCGCAGCAACATTGGGGGCCCTCACTAGCTGCCTTTCCCGTGGGGGCCTCATTGGGAGAATGTTCCAGTATGGGGGACCATAGCCAGAAACACACTCCCCCTGATTGCCACGACCCCAGCCTCCCTCGGAGGGGGCACTTGAAGGAGGGCCCCAGAACTTTGCTTAGTGTCCCGGACAGGGCTCCCCAGTCCTATCCAAAGGGGGCCAGTTCACTATCCCCGATACTGCTTGGGGTTCGGACTATAGTGTGAACCAAAAAAAGAATGAATTCCCATGCACACTGCACACATCTCATTTTTGGTACAAAAAACCTCCTTCCACGCCGCCTGGACCATTGCGTCGCTGCCTTGCAGCGACGCCCCCACAGCCACCGGCTGCTGCGCTGCCCTCCAGAGGCCAGGACCACCGGCCCAGGACCACCGGCCCAGGACCCAGCTGACGGAGACCGTCTCGGACCTGGTGTTTAGGACCCCCAGGATGTTGGTCCTGGGGGACTTCAATCTCCATGCCAAGTCTGGTCTGACCGGGGCGGCTCAGGACTTCATGGCCTCCATGGTGGCCATGGGGCTGTCTCAACACGTCATCGGCCCGACCCGTGAACGTGGACACACTCTGGACCTGGTTTTCTTGACGGGGCAGGACGAGGGTGACCTGAGGGTGAGGAATTTATGTTTGACTCCCCTGTCATGGTCAGATCACTTCCTGGTGAGGTTTGTGCTTGAGAGCAAGCTCTCCCTCCCGATTGTGTGGGTCCGCCCCTGGAGCCGGATGGATCCGGGTGGATTCCTGAAGGCCCTGGGGGAGTTTCCGGTGGGTGCTCCTGTCGAGGCTCTGGTCGAACTGTGGAACGGGGAGATGACCAGGGCTGTGGACACGATCACTCCTAAGCATCCTCTCCCACCGGGCAGAGCCCGCTCTTCCCCTTGGTATACACCTGAATTGCGGGCGATGAAGCAGGTTGGGAGACGGCTGGAGCATAGGTGGAGGAAATCACGGGATGAATCTGACCGAACACACTTGAGAGCCCACTATCGGGCCTATGCTGTGGCGGTGAAGGCGGCGAAAAAGAGGTTTTTTCCCGCTTCCATTGCCTCCTCAAAATGCCATCCAGCGGAGCTTTTTCGAGTGGTGCAAGGCCTGGTTCGTCCAGGTCCTAAGAAAGATCTGGTTCCACCCTCAAAGGCCCGCTGTGACGACTTTGCCAAGCACTTCAGGGAGAAAATCGCTCAGATTCGTCACGAGCTGGATTCCACTATTGATACAGAGGTTTTAAGGGAGACGCCAATGCTGCCGTCTGGTCCAAAATTAATGGATGAATTTCAGTTATTGCGGCCTAATGATGTGGACAAGGTGCTTGGACGAGTATGTCCCACCACTTGCCTATTGGACCCTTGCCCGTCTTGGTTAATAAATAATTCCAAGCACGGGATTGGGACCTGGATCTTGGAAGTGGTTAACGCTTCTCTGAGGGAGGGTCGAGTGCCTGCCCCTTTAAAGGAGGCGGTAATACGACCGGTCCTGAAGAAAGCGTCACTGGATCCAGAGATGGCCACTAACTATAGACCTGTGGCCAACATCCCGTTTCTGGGCAAGGTGTTAGAGCAGGTGGTGGTGGGACAACTCCAAGCACTCTTGGATGAAACTGATTATCTGGACCCATTTCAGTCTGGCTTCAGACCCGGGTACGGTACTGAATCTGCCTTGGTCGCCCTGTACGATGACCTGTGCAGGGAGACGGACAGGAGGAGTGCGTCCCTGTTGGTTCTCCTACACCTCTCAGCGGCTTTTGATACCATCGACCATGGCATCCTTCTGGATAGGCCAGCGGGACTGGGGGTCGGAGGCACTGCTTTGCAGTGGTTCCACTCCTGTCTCAATGGCCGATTCCAGAAGGTGGTGCTGGGGGACTGTGGCTCTGCGCCATGG